TTTTTTTTGGAACTCGTCAGGTGCTTGCACAACTCAACAGGTGTTCCTCCTAAGAAGCAATTTTTGCAGACTGTTACCTCCTTTTTATGTTACGAAAAGTGCACATACGAGGTAAGATTTGTTATGTGCTAAGATCTGCAAATAACAGGGAAGTATTAGGGAAGCAGAAATTCCTAAGATAAGGATTTTATACAAAACTAAGAATATTTTGAGAGAGTTTGAAAGGATGGTGCCTACCTCTTCGACAGGTGTACGAGTTTTTTCTGGCGTAACAACTTGTACGGGCTTTCTTTCAATCATCTTTGTCAGTGCATCACGTCTTGCCACTCCCATTCGACGTATATCATCAATACGTTCGGCCACCTGGACATTACAACTTTTGATCAATCACTTTATGCATGCATTATCCTTGCAAATCCTATGAACACATTACGTAGTCCAGACCACACACAAAGGGACACTTTTCGAGTTCAAACCCCAGTTGAAACTTCAGAAATACAAGAAATTTCATGGATCCCAATAGAAATGTACACTCAGGAGTTCACAAGTTGCAATCAGGGTTGAGGATGCAGAGAGAGTACCCTAAAGGGAAGGGGGGTCATATTCGATCTCTTTAAGAGGACAGGGAAGGAGGCCAATCGTGATGTCCTGCCCTGCCCTTCACTCGGTGAGCGCTTGTTCTTGGGCAGGAGGGAAAAGCATCATATCTAATGAAGGAAATCGTCCCCATATAAAGGAACTGCCTGAGCTTGAAAACTGTCAGGAATCTCAGGTAATTCTTGTCCTTAATCCAAACAATTCTTGAGCTCAGTCAAAGAAAGAGAAAAGTAGAAGAGCGTTCATAAAAAGTGACAGGGGTCTCGTTGCCGACTGCAATCTGATCCTCTGATCGCAATGCTGATGCAAAGAGCGCACCATTCGTGTTCTGGAGAACAAAGGGTAGATAAATAAAATGCTCACTCTCAGATAAGGGGGGAATATTTTTGAAGAGATCCCTTCAGATTGCCCCTCTCAGTTCTGGTGGAGCTTACCTGAGCCAATAAGGTAGACGTCTCTGTAGTGGTCAGAAGTATGAGACTGTTCATTGAAGGTGATTGGCTGATTGCATCCAACTGAAAGAAGCTATTTCAAAGTCAAACTAACCAGTAGTTGCTACAATTGTTGTATTGAAATGTGCACAGCGTGGGATACCTGTCTCTGATTGGTGTGTTGCAACGACGACCAATCATAGGCAAGCCTACTGCGCGACTAATATTTATAAATCTCTAAACTTTCTACACTCCATACTGTATACACAATAGGCACTGATTTTATTTAATATTCTTTGAATTTTATTGCTCGAGCTGAATAATCGTGGTAATCTCGAATCAAACGTAAATGAATTTTACTGCACGTTAAGACCATACATTCCTCAGAAAAAATGAATAATAACAACATAATTGTGAAATTCATTACATTTGTTACCTGAAGACGTGATCCTTCTTCCAGAAACTCGTCCATTTTTGCCAAACTTGAACTGGCTGAGGCCGGGGTCACGTCTTGAAGTATCGATGAGAGCATGTCAACTCCTTTCTTACACCAGGAGTTGGCCTGAATTTACCGATTCAGAAACATGTTCTATTTAGACTCACAGTTTTCATGAGGCACATTCGAACGCCATTCAGAAAGCCTTGGAGAAGGATTAAATCCCTACAAGCAAGTACTCCAAGGCTCTAGTTTCCGATTTTAATCTCCTTCACGTAATATTAATCAAACAGAGAGAAGTCTTTGAAAATTTCCTTAGGTCTTCAATTTCCGACTGTATTTTTGATTATAGTTTACAGTGAGTAAAAAATCATGGAGAACGTGGGGCTGACCAAAGAACTCTCACCCCTTTTAGAGAAAGGAACAATGGTCGCGTGGGTCCTATGAATGGAGTGGGAGGAGCTGCTTGCACCGCGGTATGGGAACGAGTTGGTACGACACGAGCTACGTGTTACCTCAATGGGAAGCTACTGTTCAACAGCTCTCAGAGCTGTTATGATCGAAACGGAAGTCAAATCAACTTCAGATTTTATAAACATTAGAACCAAAGCCAGCACTCCAGCGCATTTTTATTCAAAAAACAACGAAGCCCTATGAGGATAATTCCAATAATGGAGCATATCAGTCACTAATATTTTAATAGGGTCAAAGCCTACCTGAGAAATTTGTGTATGCATCGCGATGCTCATTCGTAGTACGGTCGCTCGTCTCTGTAGGGCTCCATTAAGTGCTTCAGCCATACGCTCCAATTCATCGCATTTCGGTAGTAAACTTCCGGAAATCTGAAGTAAATCGAAATTGTCTTGAAAGATCAGTACAACAAAAAATCCAGAATAATAGGCTTCTGGTCTAGCATGACATACTCCTACGTCATTCGCCGAGATCAACTCTTCACCAGTTTCCTTGAGCGCTTTGGCTGCTTTTACATCTTCCTGAAAATGTTTACATTACCATAAAAACACAAGTAGCCGTCATGTGGTACAGTAATGAGTGCTATTTAGTACGTAGTATGGACAGTTCAAAATGCTCGATACGCTCGTGAAAACTCAGGGTAGTTACTAACCAGTGCTGTTTCAGTGTACTGCTCATGCTTTTCAGCCAGTTGTTGAGCTGCTTGCACCCCTTCTCCAACAGCTCTATGCTCCTCTAGGTACAGCATATGGCGAGCGAACGATGATTGCAGCTGTAAATACAACTTGCTGTCAACAAAGTACCTCATTACTTGATTTATGACATGATAAAGAAGAAACGTTGCAGACTACAAGTAGAAATGAATACAAGTATGATAAAAATCGAATTTTAACTATAGGCTATTAACTTTTCGTTTTGAATATGAATTTAAATGTATTGTGTTACGATGAGAGAGAGAACAATGAAAAATCATCTAGCAAGAAGATGGTGGTTTTTTTTCTGAAATTGCTATGATTCCACTTCAAAGAGGACGGAAAACCAGCGGCCATTTATAGATCATAGATAGAGTGAGTTCTTGCACGATTCCAAGAAAAAGCCGGATAAAACTGAGTTCCTGGCAGTACTACAATTGCGGCAGCTTTTCGTTATAAATAGATCAAAACCTAATGATAATCCTATTTGGGAGGATAGCGCGCGCGTAAGTGGGGAGGTGTTCATGACAGCCAATCACAATCGCCGCTGACACGCACACCCCCTCACGCCTCATAATGCCCGTCTTCTGCATTACTGCTGACTCTGACGTCAACCCAAAGTCAATTAAATGTTTGCAATCATTATTTTAATGTTTATGGAGGCGAACGTGTGACTCTGCCACGTCATAGAATTCGCAGACGTAAAAATTAAATAAATTTGATTCATTTCTGCAATAAATTCAAATGCGAATGATTCTTTAACCATATAATGTCAACCATAAGCAAATTGACGATTTAAAGATCCATGAGTTTGTTCTAAGGAAAGAATACGGCTAATTCGGGCATGCGGATGGAATCGGCTTCTATTCAATTACTTCAACCAAGGAAAAGATTACGGAATTTTGAGAAGTGACCATGAACTCATTCGTATAAACGGATCCACTCGAAGAAAGGGTCAAAGAAAAATGCCAGCTGTGATCAGCTCTACTGGAATGAGCCATGCATGCCATCTTCATCGGAAAAACAATGATTTTTGGACGTGGATATGACAATTTTCGGAGTTGAAGGTCAACAGATTCTGCCACAAACTATTCTCGCTTTTCTTCGTGGATTCCGGAACTTCCGGAGAACAGCGTAAAAAAAGGATGGGAGGGGTCATCAGGTTGTAAGCCAAGCCAAAAGACCACGTGATCAAGGACACATGCTTTGCACCGCTGTGCTTGAGCTGTTCTGAATATTTCCTGTTAGACTCCACCAAACTTCACTATGACCACCAAATGAATAAGTTTTTTAAAGATTACCCTATGCTACTATACTGAAGCAATTACGAATTATAGGGCATTCTCGGTCTTCTCACGGGCCTAAAATAATACCAACATAAAAAGGGCAGCGGGACATTCAGAAGGTGCACTCTTGCAGAAGCATCCCATAAAAAACGTCCATTGTGAATAGAAAGCCGTCTTTCCCATAGTACGAAAAAAAATGGCAATAAGCTCCGATTATGTAACAACGATCACCAGGGTGTCATTTAAAAAACACGTTAAGAGTAGGGAAAAACGAGCTGAGGGCTCTTTCTGAGAAATTTCGCTGAGAACGTTCACACGTATTGGCACGATAAAAATGAACTGGCCTGCTCAACTAACAAGTTCATTTTCCCCATTTAATTTTAGCTTTTTAGAAATACAATGAACCAATTTTCTTATTCATTAGGCCAAATGGCAAAAATCCAACCATTTCAACTACTAGTGGGCGTTTGGTTAACAACATCGATTAATATTTTACGAGCTACTCGTTGTTTACCGATAAACAAATGCCTTCTTTTTCGAATGCATGACGGAAAGGTCTTTCAAATAAAGCAAGCGTAGTTCACTATACAAAATACGAGGATTTTAAAGAATCATGAAAAAATTTAGATAAAACAAGCTTCTTAGAAAATCAGTTTCTACATGGTGGTGAGGACTCGTTTAGGATACGTTCAAAAAGTAAAAAGGTTCAAGCACTTATAAAATCCTCATTTCTGTCCAAAACCCAACAATTAAGTAAAAAATGAAAGTAAAATATGAAGGGAAGAGGGCATGTGGTCCAACAGAAGGGTCGGAAGGTCAGGCGAGTCTTCGATTGACCCCTGATTGACCTCTGATAACGGTTCGAAGAAAAACACATTGGGTGGTGGTTTACGATAACACCATCTCCGCCACCAAATTGCCAGGTACTGTCACTAATCCTAACCTCAATCTATTAGGTACCTACCCTATTATCCTCTTCGCTTCGATAACTATTAAAACCTACAAAGTACACAAGTTATCCCTAGCTCNGCGAGAACACTTGAGCAATGAAAAGGAACCAGCTGACGAACGAAAGGATTATGTTCACGAGTGTCTATGAACATGCGCAGTTTAAACTGACGTACTTGTGACAATGGACCGCTCAAATGCGGATTACTAGTACTACTAAAAGTTAATTTCAGTCCCAATTTTGGTGCGCACTATTATTTGTTTATAAGTGCTTCATAGTAATGGCTGTGAAAGAGAGGCATCAACATGACAACAGGCAAGGAGCTCAACTCAATGGCCGGATTCTCTTGCTTTAAGATGTCTTCAGAAGAAACAACCAAGAAAAGCAGAAGCTTAGAAGTTCCTGGCCAAAGGGCAAGAACCGCTTTATAAAAATAATTGTACTGGTAGATAATAAAGTACAGTAAGTGACAACAAGTGGCAAGCAAATGTTGGAGCATGAGCGAAAAGAAGTCTTGAAGGCCAGTTACTCGTGTTCGGGGATCTCTCCCAACCGAGTCGGCGATTGCGTAGGTGAGACTAACGAAAGTCGTATTTCAAGGGTCAAGTAGGTTTTCGTACGTCAAGATTTGGCCTCCGCGAGAGCATCACTGAAGTTTCCCGCGTCAGTAGGTGAAACGAACATAATCACTACGTCAAACAGATACATGAGGGAGAAGAACTTTGGCTTTACTTAGTTTTTTCTCTTCAGTAAACAGTATGTCCGTAACAGTGAAAAGCGTTTTCGTTCCTACAGATTACGCTTTTCTCTTGCATTTGTTCCACAGTAGCTAGCTG